AAGAGGACAACAAATAGTATCAAGCTGCTGCTTGTTGGGAAATGATCTCAGCCGTACACGTGGCTGAGATCTCAACGGTTCAAAACAACAAAAGGAAAAATACTAAACACGCTTGTATAAGAGAAACACGTCTTATAGGAAAATAAAAGAAAAATTATAAAACATATGTCTGCCAGTAGAAAACACGGGCCATTACTTCTACACGCCGTGAATGCGAACCGCACAGATCCCCAAAAATCCTGATTCAATTCTCGGCCCTTCGGCGGGATAATTTCTATAGCTCTGAAATCAAGCGTGAAGATGGGCGACGAATTTGATGGTGAAAGGGGATAATCCTTGTGAAATTCGAGATGGACGACCATGCCTGCAACTCTGCAAAGTTTTTTTTTTTTTTTTTTGAGATGGGCCACGTATTTGATGGGCGACGAATTTGATGGTGAAAGGGGATAATCCTTGTGAAATTCGAGATGGACGACCATGCCTGCAACTCTGCAAAGTTTTTTTTTTTAATTTTTGAGAATTTAAGATTTGATAGGGACTTGATTGCAATTTAACAAATTTTGATTAAATGTCAATTTAACCTACGGGCCAAATCTGTAATTTTTAGGAAATATATAAAAAATATTAGATAACATATATCAAACTAAAATCATTATTTTATATTTTATAATAAATAAAATATTAACTAAAAATAATATAAATATAAAAATAATTTATAATAATTAATAAAGTATATAATAAAATAATAAATAAAAAAATATTTTAGTTGTGTAGGTTAATTCGATGTACAATTATATATATTAAAACTGGTTTTCAAATGCACATATTTATCTAAAAAGGTATAAATTAGGGCATGTTATATAGCAGAATGATGCACTTTATAAAACAATATGTTGCACTTTATCACCACAATCCACAATTAATGTCAACAGCTACCACCAAAATATTACTCGATATAAATTTATAAAACGTATATACATAATATTTTAATATCCATCACATCAAAAAACATAAACATGCTAACGTATCAAGATTTTATTATTGCAGCTTATACATCAATATGTTGCACTTTATTCGGCAGTACATTGCACCTTATAACACAACATGTTGAACCTTATGACATAACACGCAACATCTACCAAAATTGCAGTAATTATGATAATCGAGCAAATAAAATTATTTGGTTAAAAATAAATAATTATAATATTAAAATACTAAATATCTTTTTATAATATAAATTATAAATTATTTCATTCATTTAGATTGGTTTGGTTAATCAAATTAATAAAATGATTATTTCGGTTATGTTTTAATTTATTTTGTAAGTCATTAAGAACAACATGCAATGCAATTGCACATTATTGTATTATGAGTTGCACATTAATGACTATTAGATTGTACAAATATTGACCAACCCCGCACAGACTAAATCTTCGGTTCAAAATATTGTATCTGCTTCAATTATCTACTTTACTTTTAAAATAACGGTTATTTCTCGTTGATCTCGGCCTTATTTAAAAAAATAAAATAACCGAACCGACTAAAATATTTAAAAAAAATAATATTATTTTGTTTATTTATATTTTTTTATGCATTGTCAGTGCACATTATGGTTATACAAAATGCACATTAATGACTATCAATTTGCACGACATCGAACAAATTAAAATATTTGATTCGAAATTTTCGGTTCAATTACTTGTATTTATTCTTAAAACCACATTTATTTCATGTGGGCTTTGATTTTTAAAATTTATAAAATTACCGAACCAACAAAATTATACAAAATAATATAATATTTATTTTGTACATTATAAACGATATGTACAAATATTAAAATAATAATTATATTTTTATAATTATATATTTAACCCATGTCCTCAATTATAATATATTAGAAGTTTATATAATTACAATCAAGTCCCTACATCTAATCATTCTCAACAACACATCCCCTAAATCTAACTCCACTATTCTTTCTCATAAACAAGAGCAGAAAAGAAGTCACTTACCATATCGGCCAGCTCACAGGGACTTACCGCCGACGTTGGCCGTGACGAACGGCGTCGACGTTCACCAGAAAATTCACCGGTGAACGAAAAAAATGGCCGAGAAGTCACGTCGTTGCAGCGGTTGGCGGCTGAGACATCGTCAGTGGGAGTGGGAGACAGACGACAAGGGTTGGCGATCGACCGACCAATGTGAAGCTTGTTCGGAGGCCGACGACGGCTCTTGGTGACCCAGCCTTCTTCCGGCGGACGATTGAGCTCCGACTATGGAATCTGTGTCGCCGATGGAGACGATTTCGGTGTCTGACAGTGATGTGCGACGTCCGGTGTCGAGTTCGATGGGTGGCTGGCCATTGAGCCGGTGTCACAAACCTATGTGTGTAAAGTGTGTGTTCTGTGAAGTGTGTGTGTGAGAGGCGGGACGGGTAGGTAAGGGTCGGGAGATGATGATGTGTGGGGTGGGAACAAAATAATTATTATAAAAGTAGGTCCGATTGTTATTTTTATTGACAAATTTATCCCTAATGAGTGGTCAAATGCTAATATTTGACAACAATATGTCAATTTATTTACCTTATTGCCATTACATGTTAGACTATATTATTAAAATTTTTCCTTTCTCATATGATCCCTTATATATATATATATATGTATATGTATATAGTTGTCATGTTGATAGAGACGAAGACCTAAATGTTTAAAAGGTATATGCATTTATCTCCCATGTCACGGCCTTCACGGGGCACAATATGTTTATGCTAATTTCTTTTTCCCAAAACATGAGAATCTTTCGGTACCATACAAAAAGATGGGGAAACATAGTATGCATGAATTCGGTGATAAATGATGATGCCCTTGTCACCAAACTTTACGTAACAACCTCTCCATTCGTGTGGTTTACCCACAACTCAATCACTCTCATATGAGTACCCCTCTTCCAGTAAAACTACAGCATACCCCCAAATTGTTCAAGCTTATTCATTGTAAGAAAACGCTAACAATGGAGCTTTCAATATTTTTCTTTTTCAAATATCCAATATTTCAGATAGCCTGTAGTATAGATTCATCCACAAATTCACTAGGCATAATTAGTACTGCATTGTTCTTCGACTTCATTTTATGGCTTGTGGAGAAATGCAATAAAGTATGAGATTGCATTGGACGAGCTCATACGTTTTTTTTTTCTTTTTTTATTTTTTTGGTTTAAAAAAAATTCTAAAGAAAAAAAAGAAGAAACAATTTAAAACAAAATACACAGATCATTTAAAATTGTGATCACTGCATAAATCAATATTATTTTAAATGCCCATTCACTCACTCTCTGCAAGCAAAATGAAGAGCTCGTCGTCAGTGATTGCTCCCATCTCCATAGCCCTTTCCAGAGCGCTAAAGCCACCAGCATCTTTTATAGATGCACGTGCACCTCTGAGTAGAAAATATTCACAAGCAAATAAGTTATAAGTCAAAACTTATATATTTTGTACATACTGATCAGCTCACACAGAAGTGCGTCAAAATCAAAGTAATACTTCAATAGCAGATTACTCTTGCTAAAAGTAGATTCAAGTTGACAAATGAGCCTTACTTTTAAAACTAATGGTAAAGGATCTACATAAGTACAACTTTCGGGTGAAGAGAAGATATATCGTTGAGGTGAATATCTCATAATTGTTGCTTAGAGGATTAGATGAAACACACTGTGGATAGATATGTATATGTTAAAAAAAATAAAAAAAAAAATAAAAAAAAAAATAATAATAAAAAAAAATCTTTCACTAGAGAAATGTTTGAATTTTCTAGAGAAAAATAAAAAATACTAAAAAGCTTGATTGGATGTAAAATAAAAATGTAACGATTAAAGTAGACGGAATTTAAAAATATGAACTAATGAATGGTCGATAGAAATATGTGAGTGTACAAACAATAATATATGTTGTAACGACTAAAGTTTTATTTTAAAAGTTGTATTTATAGAACTGAGGTGAGGAAAAAAAATGAGATGAGTGAATAATGTACTTGGTAAAAAAATTTCCAATATGATGAAAAGGTGAAAAATTATAATATCCAAACACACCTACTGGGCAGCAATATTAAGATCTCTGATTCCCACCCCTGTTTTCTTTCTTTTACCAATCCTTTCCACAAGAAAGTAGCTACGAGAGGATTTTACCTTCTGAGCAGAAACTTGGCCTTCTCATTGTTTCTGCTCAAGATGCAATGTTGGAGAGGAGTTCGGCCTTGGAGGTCACACTTGTTTATATCAGCACCCAACTGCAACAACAGCTCCATCATCATCAAACTTCCACAGTGGCAGGCCAAATGCAATAAAGAACATTCCTCAAGTCCATTTCCCGCATCACCATCACACGACCGACTTTTCTCATCACAAGAAGAATTGACTATATTCTCATCTAATGATGCTACACAGATCCTATATACTTCCCGCAGATTGTTCGCTCTAACAGCTTCCCAGATGGTGAAGGCCAACAGATCCCCAGGACCTCTGCCTTCTCGATTTACGAGCAGTTTCCTGACATACTGGATTTCTGAAACTAGTGAGTCTGTATTACAACTCCACAGTAGTGCACGAAAAAGAGAGGATTATCTAGAGAAAATGAAAGATCTTCTAGTATCAAGAACAAATGCTAAAATCTAGCTTCGATCTTACTATCGGAGGTGAATCCATAGTATTTTTCTTGATAGGCAAGTCACAATCAACATATTAAATGATTAATACATAGAATTTTTTAATTTTGGTTACACAAGTACATAGTACATACACTTGCATGGGTGTAGGTTCATTCATATATTTTATTACGCGGCCCTCACTCCATATGAGGTATTAACCCTACAATGTACACCTACCCCATTGCTCTAAATATACAAGGCAAAAAAAAAAAAAAAAACTTATTACAATTATAATATAAAGTAATTTTACGAAACAAGTCGTCACACATAATCTGGAATGAACTTAAAATAACATATATGCTAATATTGAAAAGGAAAAACTATCTCAACATGTATCTAAACAATTGTCAATAATTGACAAGAATAAAATCCAAACCAAATCAGTTTTCTTGCCTAATAAAAAAGGTTCAATCAACTTTCTATGTCGAATGCAGAAAAACACAGTTAGTATGATTACTGTAAGATATAAATAAACAACTCATTTCTAATCTTGTTATTTTATTTTCAAAATTGTTAATAAACAAAAGCTGAAATTATTTTTAGGGGCTATAATTTTATATTTTAATTTAAAATGGGTTGTGCCACCCAGGCCCCTAATGCAGATCAGCTATGCTTACCACATCGAATAAAGTGGACAGAAACACAGCCAGATATATTTTTATATGACAAGAGTCATTAAGTTTCATAAGGAAATAATAAAAAGGAAGGTCTCCTACTTAAAAATACCTTTGCTTGAACATACTTCTCCTTCTGGGTAATTGCATCGTTGGGCCGAGGTTTCGCAATGGGGGGAGCTTCAGACTCTATTATTCTGTATTCAATGATTTTGCCGAACAGGTAATATGGTTACTGCATAAAACTTGGAGTGTAGGCAAAACAGAGAGAAAGTTGACCAACGTAACAGAACCAATCACATGAAACATTGCTTGACACATCAAATGTAGATTTGGGACCACAAATTCATCAAATTGCAAATATATAGTCCAAAATGATATCACTTGGTGTATTAAGCTCACGTTTTAAACATTGCAGTCGAGTTGCACTAGAGACTCAAGGAACTTACAAATCTGTATGCAGTGGTAGCAGCTCCTCCCAGACAGAATTACAGTAGGAATTTCCCAGAGCTTGAAATAAATTTAAGACAGTAGGTTCCCAAACTCTCACGTCTAAGGTGACTGACCTTACCTGTAATGATGGGAGAAATATAAATCATATTTCTAGGTTGCTGTGATTATGAGAAGATAGGCGAAACCCAATTTGTTCAAGTACCATATAAGATTAATAAATCTAAGGCAAATGCATTAATTCTAACTCTATGACTATCTCTGAGTAACAGTTCTATTACAATTCTTCAGTTAAACCAAATCAGCTCCGTCAAACAAGAATTTATCAGAATGACAAGTAGTACCATACATTAGCAGAAAATGGTTTTTTTTTTTTCTAACAGTTTAGAGAATGCAATTATCCGAGACTCAGATCAAATCTGTTCAGTCATAACAGTGAAGATCATCAACTGACATTAAAACAAATATGGCCATATAAAATTGGAAAAGTCAAGAATGGAGAAAACTAATTGTGGCCTGATCTCATAAGCAGATAAATTACAGTAGAGTTTTGGGAACCTTCCACCGGCTTAATGACCATTTGCATAATTACGTTGGCATATTGTTGGAGAACACCCTAGAACAAATTACACCGACTTTATTTGCCAATAAATATGAGACAACATCCACGTCCTCAAGTGAGGAGAGTAGTGATAAATGGGCTTGGGTAGAACTCATTCCCAAAAGCTAGCTCAAAGGGAGAGGTGGCCAACCCACACTTACACATAATAACAGCCCAGTAACTAATCAATGTAGCACAAACATAATTTCTAACATCCGCCCTCACGCGCGGCGTGCCAAACCAAATGCTCGGCTCCAAACCCAACCTTACCTCCAAACAAACAGTGCTTTGAGACCATGATCAATGCGCTTGGGTATAACTCATCCCCAGAAGCTAGCTCAAAAGGAGGGTGTCCAACCCAGCAATAACTAATTGATGTGGGACAAACATAATTTCTACAAATAGGATAGTTATATAATTGTAAAAAAGAAACAGTGTTTGTGAGGTGTAATATTATAGTGATATAATTGTAAGATATTTTGCGTATAATTAATAAAATTATTTTCTGTTGTACATCACTCGTTAATTTTTTGAGCCATTAGTTTCCAACAACAATAGCTTTATTTCTTATTCCAAATATAATAGTGGAAATAAATGTGAGTGCCAAAATTCATAAATATTTTAAGTTTCAGATGTAGACCAAATTGATTTGTTCTGCAGTAAAAATGGTTATCCTAGGTCAAAATATACGTAGTTGCTAAACATTCTTAGCTGAAAAGAAGTGCATACAAGCCATGGGTCAAATGTCTCTGGCTTTACGTTAATTGTATTTCAACAATATTTGAGGAGTATAACAATGGTCGAGTATAGAAATTCCTATGAATGTGCACTATGCTTTTAAAGTTCCTAAGTGGAAGGAAGCAGTGCTGGTGCTAGAAGATATTAGAGTGCTAGAAGAGATGTGCGCTCTAGGGAAGAACAATACTTGGAATGTTGAGGCTTTGCCAAGAGGAAAGAACACCGCGAACTTTTAACTTGGTTTCCAACTGAAGTATAATTCCGATGGTTCATTAGAGAGATACAAAGCTAGGTTGGTGGCCAAGGGATTCACACAAACATATGGTATTGACTACTCTGAAACCTTTGCCTCGGTTGCAAAGTTAAACCGATAAGAGTACTTTTATCAATTGCCACAAATTTGGATTGGCCGTTGCAACAACAAGATGTGAAAAATACATCTCTATGGCAATTTGGAAGAAGAGGTGTATAGATAGTCCACCTGGCTTGAAGACAAATTTGATTCAAAAGTGTACAAATTATATCTCATATAGTCTCTAAAGGCTTGGTTCGAGAAGTTCTCACGCAATCAGTTAAGAAATAAGGATACTCTCATTTACAAGCTGGCCATACCCTGTTCTTCAAGTTCTCTCCGAGAAGAAATATTGCGATACAAATAGTTTTTGTCAACCACATTATTGTTATGATTGCTTGAGAGATTTAAAAACAACAATAAACAACCTTGCATCTAAATTTTAGATTAGGGATTTGGGAGATATTTTCATGGCATGGATATGGAAGTTGATCCTTCAAGAAAGGTACTTTTGTCTCTCAAAGAAGATATATATATATATATATATATATCCTTGATTTGTTGAAGGAGAAAAACTGATTTATTTTGTTATGAACCTATGGTTTTCTGAGTTGATTTTCTTTGATATGAATGACTCATATACATAGATAGACATGTCAAAACGGGTTTGCTGGCACGGCGGGCCAGCCCGCAGCCCACCAAAACCCATTGTTTGGCGGGGCGGGGCGGGCCTATAAATGGTCAACCCGGCCCACCCCGCTACGGGGCCACAGGCTAGGCGGGCTAACCCGCTAAAAATGATAAAATAAATGAAAGCATGAAAAGCCCACGAATTTAATATCTTCACAGCCCACGGCCCACAACTCCAACCCATTTCTTTCTTTCTCTCTTCCTTTTTTCTCGTTCCCAGCGTGCATCCCATTTTTCTCTCATCTCTTCTTTTCTTCTCCTTTCCAAAACCTTTTTCCTCTTCTTCTTTTCTCTTCTTTTTAAATGGCGAGGCGAGGCGGTTGGCCCATCGTGGCGAGGCGAATCGCCATGGCGAGGCCTCGGCAACACAAGCCATCAAAGCTTAAATATATATATATAGTAATATCATACATTTAAGTTTAAGTACCAAAAATGACATTAAATATCCTAAAAAAGATAATATAATATAAATTTAGTTGTAATTACTAAAAGCATCTAAAACTTAAATGTGAATACCAGTAACATTACAAAGCACTGTGTAGTAAACATAAAATAGAAAAAAGTTAAAGAAGGTAAATAAGAAGTGTAAATGAAAGAAAAGATGATGCACCCTTTTACCTTTGACTATTGACAATACTAGTAAACATAATTAAAGTAAAAAATGAAGAAAGAAGAAAAGAGACGGCAGAAACGGGAACGGGAAAAAGAGAAAGGGAGAAGGAAAAGAAAAGAAAAGGCATGCATCACTGATTGTCTTGGAGGACATGGTGGTCGGAGTTAAAAGGAGGCCGGAAATGGGATGGGCGGCCATGGTTTTCTGCAAATTTTCAAATCCGAGAAGCCTAGGGAGTTCTTTTGTAGAAACCCTAGTTTGGATAGATGCCATTTAGGGATATTTCACTGAATTTTTTTGCTTTCGATCTGTTTTAATTTTATTCTCTTTCCAAAAAGTGTCAGCTTTTCTTTTCTTTTATTTTTTTAAATGGACTACTGCTTTAGTTCCTCTCAAAGGCGCCGAGGCGCGCCGCACAGGCGCCTCTCGCCACGCGAAAAGGCGAGCCGAGGCGACCTAAAGCGAGCGCCTAGCGAACAGGGTCGCCTCGGGCAATGGCGAGGCGAAGTGGCCCTCGCCTCGGTCGCCTCGCCTCGAGGCGTCGCCATTTTAAACTATGATCCATCGAGGGAGAGAGTTGCAAAGTTCAGAGATTTGATTTAATAGAATCAGAGATGATATGATTTGATTTCTTGAATATCTGATTACTTCAGATTTTCAAGATATTCCATTTCCTTTACAATTACTGATTTTGCTCCAATAATCAAGGAGTAAAACCTAGCGCTCTAGTTCATTTAAAGGCCTTATGTAAATCATATTAACCCATACAAAAAAAGGACTTACTACTCTATTTTCTTCCAGATCTGTTTTCCTATGTTTTCTTCATACATAAAAAATGTGAAAATGATACACTAAAATAAACAAAATGAAGGAAAAAAAATGTCGCAAAACATAGAAGAAAAAGATATTGGAAAGCACACAAAAAGTAAAGATTAAAACAAATTAATTTATATTTATAAATGCCAAACAAATATACGCACACACAGGGGAGAGAGAGAGAGAGAGAGAGAGAGAGAGAGAGAGAGAGAGAGAGAGAGAGAGAGAGAGAGAGAGAGAG